AAGATATAATTGATGACTGCAGGTCTTTTCTGTTTCGGACATGAGACAATTACTCAAAGAATTCACCTTTTTCTTTCTCTAAATGTAGATCAATATGATGCTTTGAAGTATCTTTAAGATTATACCCTCCGCTACCTTCCATCAAAAGTAAGGTTGACAAGAAAGTTCAGCTTTATATTTCACCATTAGCAGCTCAACATGACTACCATGTACTTGTTTAGGCTTGAACTTTGCGATGATTGAAGCAGTTAAGCAAATAGTGTTACTTTTTCAGTGATTCTGCAGTGTTACATGCTCGCAATATCACTAACTTGTGTTCACTCTCCAGTTAAGCTATTTATGTTTAGTCCACCGCATGAACTTCAAGTTAATTATTCTCCACAAGATCTGAACAAGTTATTCTACATAAGTTATATACTAACAGATACTGTAAAGGAAAGTGTTTTGTTACTTATCAGATACATCTGTCTTACTTATCAATTTCTTGGAAGTCTATTAATCTACTCCTCCTAGAAATGTCATCCTGCATTGGAAAGGGAACAGAAGAATGACTGAAATAAGTCTTTCTCTTTGTAGAAAACATGAAGTTGGTAGACAGTGGAGGCTGCAACATGTGATCATCTACTTTGGATCTTCAGGGTACCTGCAAATCAACTTAATACTAAATTAGATTTTCTAAATGAAGTTTGACAACAAATTTTGAACATCATACGAAATTTGTTTTTTTTTTCCTTCATAATTTACCTAGAGTCCAGTATACCTATTTGCAAAAGAATCGAAATCCAATTGCTTGTGAGACTAATAAGAGATTTTCCTTTAAATTAACAGGGGCTAGGATGAGAATACACTGAAGACTTTTGGTGAAGCTTGTTAGAGCCCAAACTGATAGTCCTTCTACATAATAGGCCCAATAGATATTATATAGGACTCGGACCCAATTACTTGTAAATAACATTTATTGATGTAAATATAAATACTCCTAAATGAAATAAAGAAGGTAGATGGTCATTTTCTCTTTTTACTTTTCTTTGTGTCTCTCTCTTCTTCTCGACCCTTCTAGGATTTTCTTATTCATTTTTCCTCCATAGCTCGCCTGAGCTTCATCCTAACATGGTATCAGAGCGGAAATTCTGATTCTCTGCATCATAAGCTTCATTTTCAATGGAGATTTGCTCAGAGATTCCATCAAAAACGATTTATGGTTAAAATCGGAGATTCCGTTGGGGTTTTCATCTGTGGTCGAAAAGGTTTAGGGTTGCTCAAATCGTCTCCTACTATACTCGTATTGATGAGAAGTGACAGGTTTGTGAAAAATTCAACAGAAATTTCCGTTCCATTCAAGCTAGGGTTTCTGCGCTACATGCAAGGCCTTACTTCTTCGGGGTTTTCAGAGGAAGGTTGGTAATATCACTCTAATCTACACACTTGAGGATTATTTTGATATATCTTAAGGTTTAAATCGTGTGAGTTCCGTATTTGCATGTCGTTATTTTTTAGCTATTCTCAAATTGTATGAATAAGAATTTCCTTTGTTGTTAGTCGTCTCTAATTAGTCTATGCTATGGGTAGTACTGGTGATAGTTCGGTTTCTACACCTGACAGATTTGCATCTTTTACACTCGATCCCTCTCATCTCTTCTATGTCCATCCCTCTAATAGTTCTGGTAGCCAATTGGTACCTGTGCCATTTGATGGACATGGTTTTGTGCTTTGGAGGAGTAGTATGCTCACTTCTCTTTCAACCGAAAATAAATTAGGGCTTTTAGAGGGTAGAATCAATCAACTTAGCTCTAATTTACCTTATTGCCCTTACTGGGAGAGATGCAATGATATGGTGAAAGCCTGGATCACTAATTCTATATCTCAAGATATTGCTACCAGTGTTATGTGCTTTAGAACTGCCAAGGAAATTTGTTCTGATATCAATGAGAGGTTTGGACAATCAAATAGATCCAAATATCTCTAGATTCAGAGAGAAATAAGTGGTACTATTCAGGAGTCTTCAGTTATTGCCACATATTTCACCAAATTTAGAAGTCTTTGGGATGAGTTAAACTCCTCATATGTAGGGCCCATATGCTCTTGTGGAACCCTTCCCAAGTTTATAGAAGATCAATAACTTTTCCAATTCTTAAATGGTCTTAATGACTCCTACTCAATTGTGAAAAGTGCAATAATGCCCATGAATCCCCTGCCACCTATTAGCAAGGCTTATTCTCTCCTACAACAGGATGAAAATCAAAGGAAAACTCCATCTACTATTCCAAACTTCTCAACTGATTTTGCTTCTTTCTCTATTTCTTCAACTCCTGCCACTGCCAATAGAACTTTCACACAAAAGGTCAATTTTGACTCTAGGAAGAATATGCCTTTAATTTCTTGCAAGTATTGTAAGAAGCCTAGTCATAGAGTGGACACGTGCTACAGGTTACATGGGTTCCCTGCAGACTTCAAGTTTACTAAAAATAAGAATTCAGCCTCCTATGTTCAAACTGACATTCCTCATGGTCTGCCAAGTGCTCCTACATCTCAATAATCTGACAGTTTTCCTCATGGGTTCACAAAGGAACAATATCATCGCCTGATGACTTTATTCCAACAAGTTCAAATATCTCTTTGTATTAGTTCTGAGACTTTTCCTGCTGAAAACTCTGGCTTTGCACACTTTGCAAGTTTGTTTACTACTTATGATGTTGATTCTGATAACTCTCTTATATGTGCAACTTCTCAGTTAGAAAAAAATCCTTGAATATTAGATTCAGGGGAAACAAACCACATGAATCTACATAAACACTTACTTCACAACCTTGTACCCTTACCTAAACCTTTTTTTGTTACCTTACCTAATGGATATAAAGTTAAGGTAATGTCAACTGGTTCTTTACACCTTAGACATGATATAACCTTACTTAATGTCCTTTTTGTACCATCTTTCCACTTCAATCTGATTTCCATACATCAGTTAATTTCCCAATTGGGTTGTATAGCTATTCTTACCAAGTTCAATTGTTCTTTACATGGCCCTTCTCTGAAGAGGCCACTGGTAATTGGCAAGGCTGCTGGAAGGTTGTACTATCTTCATCCTAATGCTGATTTGTTCCCTAATCCAGCTTTGTTTTCTTTTTCTAGTTATGTGTCATGTAAAAAGTCTGAGTCCATTCCCTCTATAAATACTATTCCATATGATTATGCACCTATTATAAATAAAATGGATTTATTTTGACATCAAAGATTGGGTCATATGACTTTTCATAGAATGAAGTTTATTCCTTTAATATCTGATAAAGTCTCTTCCAAGCAATCTTTTATTTGTTCAATTTGCCCAATGGTAAGGCAGCAAAGGTTGTCTTTCTCTGATAGTCAAATTCATTCAACTGCCCCATTTCAACTAGTACATATTGATGTATGGGGGGGGGGAAGTTATAACTTAAAAACTTACAATGGTTTCAGATATTTTTTAACCTTAGTTGATGATTACAGCAAAGCCACATGGACTCATTTGTTATCTTGTAAAAGCAATGCACTTCCTATCCTTAAAGCTTTCACTTCTATGGTTACAGTACATTCTAATTCTTCAGTTCAAACTTTCAGATCTGATAATGCTTATGAACTTAGTTGCAGTCATGAAGCTGCTTCTTTCTTTGCTAACCAGTAAATTTTGCATCAGACCATCATTCCTCATACTCCACAACAGAATGGGGTTGTGAAAAAGAAACACAAATATCTCCTAGAAATATCTAGGGCCCTTCTCTTTCAATCTAAACTACCTCTCAAATGTTAGGGAGACTGTGTATTGACTGCCACCTACCTTATTAATAGAATGCCTTTAGCCATTTTAAACAACCTCCCTCATTTTGAAAAATTGCATGGTCACCAACCTCTTTATGCTCACTTAAGGTCGTTTGGTTGCTTGTGTCTTGCCATTTCTCCCAGAATAGGCACAGACAAGTTTCAATCTAGGGAAATTCCTAGTCTCTTCCTAGGTTAACCTTGTGGTAAAAAGGGTTACAAGCTTCTAAATCTTTCCACCTCTTCTATTTTTTACTCTAGGGATGTTGTGTTCCATGAACATGTCTTCCCCTTTCACTCTTCCAACCATACTGTTCCTGCCTCTCCTCCGCAACCTTTTGTGGACATTCCTTCTGCACATGCATCTTCTTCTCCACCTTCTTCCAGTCTTCTCAGTTCTCCCCCTAACAACTGTTCCAAACCTTCACCAAGTCCTCTCTTACCTACTGTACCTATTCAAGCTGTCAGGAAATCTACTAGGGTTATCACTCAGCCTTCTTATCTCAAAGATTACATATGTACTTCTGTTCTACCCAATGTTCTCGTCACTGACCTTTCTAAGGTGTCCCAGACTGAGTTGTATATGCATGAGCCTCAGTTCTACCAGCAGGCAGCTTCACATCCTGTTTGGCAAGAGGCCATGCTATAGGAATTTCAAATTCTTGAGTCCAATTAGACTTGGGGCATTGTTCCACTCCCTCCACATAAAATGGTTATTCCTTGTAAGTGGGTTTACAAGATTAAACAGAAAAGGCTATTTATTGTATGTGTGTTTACAAGATTAAACAAAGGGCAGCTGGTTCCATTGAGAGGTACAAGGCAAGGTTGGTCATTAGGGTGATACTCAAAAATAGGGTATAGATTTCACTGAAACTTTTTTCCTTGTTGTTAAATTGACCACCATCAAATGTCTCCTCATTTTTGCTGTTAAAAGAGGCTGGACTGTTTATCTGTTAGATGTCAATAATGTTTTTCTGCATGGTGACCTTCATGAGGAGGTTTATATGAAGATTCCTCATAGTCTGGATCTCTCTTCTCCTTCTGCCTCTCATCCTTTAGCTTGCAGTCTCAAGAAATCGTTATATGGCCTTAAGCAGGCTTCCAGACAGTGGTTTTCTAAACTGTCTGAAGCCCTGACCTCTAGGGGCTACATTTCTAGTCTCAGTGACTATTCTTTGTTCACTAAGTGATTTTTTGGTTCTCTTGTTGTGATGGTTGTCTATGTTGATGACATATTGCTAGCTGGGGATGATGTTGCTGAGTTAGACTCCTTGAAGTTATTTCTGGACAACCAGTTTAAAATCAAGGATTTAGGCACAATTTATTACTTTCTTGGGTTGGAAATCTCCTCTCACTCTCAGGGCTATCTTATGACTCAATCCAAATACACCACTGATCTCCTAGATGAGTTCAAGTGCCAATATTTTTCTCATATTTTCACACCTCTGGATCCTTCTGTCAAGCTTCATTTAGATATGGGGGAGCCTATTTATGATCCTAGTATGTATAGGAGGCTAATTGGGAAGCTGAACCTTTTACAACACACTAGGCCTGAAATCTCTTTCTCTGTTCAACATCTCAGCCAATTTCTTCAATATCCTTAGGTTCCCCACATGTTAGTTGTACTTCATATTTTGAGGTATCTCATGAATGACCCTACGCATGGTATCTAGCTTTCCAATTCTGCTGAACTGTCTCTTATGGGTTTCTCTTATTCTGATTGGAGTTATTGCACTATTTCTCAGAATTCTATCAGTGGTTATTATATCATTCTTGGTGGAAGTACTATTTCTTGGAAGAGCAAGAAACAACCTACTATAGCCTTGTCTTCAGCCGAAGCTGAATATAGAGCTCTGAGGAAAGTTGCTGCTGAAATAGCTTGGTTGACTAGATTACTTGGTGACCTTGGCTTGCCAATCTCTAATCTTTTTCCCGTATATTGTGATAGTCAGACTACTCTGCATATAGCCAAGAATCCTGTCTTTCACCAGCGCACACAGCATATTGAGATTGATTGTCATTATGTGCGTGAATGCCTACATGTTGGACTTATTTTTTTACACTTTGTTTCCAGCGCAGATCAATTGGCTGATATTATGACCAAGGTTGTCTACTCAACTGCATTATGGTATCCNGAGGGGGAGTTAGAGCCCAAACTGATAGTCCTTCTACATAATAGGCTCAATAGACATTGTATAGAATCCGGGCTCAATTACTTGTAAATACACATTTATTATTGTAAATATAAATACTCCTAAATGTAATAAAGAAGGCAGATGGTCATTTTCTCTTTTTACTTTTCTCTTTGTCTCTCTCTTCTTCTTAGCCCTTCTAGGATTTTCTTATTCATTTTTCCTCCATAGCTCATCTGAGCTTCATTCTAACAAAGCTACAATACGAATTAATACTGAGAGGCCGTTCAATTTGACTTAAAAAGAAAATAATCTTAGTACAAAGCTCTGTATTATTAATAATTAACATTTTGGTTACTATTATTGTATATCTTATGGGCAACATTTGTATATTACTTATGTAGTAAGTTATATATTATTTTATACTGATATGAGGTTAAATAAGAATATTCAAAAAATTTAAAAAACTTTCTATATATGTCTATCACTGGAAAACCGATCCCCTCATCTTTTATTTCACACCCTAAACGAACACATTCAAAAAACAAAGAAAAATAACTTTTTATAAAACATTAAAAGAAGAAAAGAGTATTGCAAGGAAAAGTAGAGAGAGAGAATTTTTATTGATTTTGGGATGAATTACAATGGAATAGGACTCCTCTATTTATAGTGAAAGAGTGGCTTAGCCACCAAGTAAAATTCCTAAAATCTCTCTAGAATATAGACATTCACCTTAAATATAATTCTATTTATAACACTTCCCTTGAATGTCTATTCAATAGATAATGTGCCTCGTTATAACCTCAACTAAAATAAAACCCAGTGGGAAAAAAATTGTAGATAAGGAAAAAGAGTACACATGTTTAGAAATACGCCTTTTGGTTGCGTCGTTAAAAACCTTGCAAGGAAAACCCAGTAGGACAAAACGTTGTAAGGGAAAAAGAGTACAACGCGTATTAACTCCCTCTGATGAGAGTACCAATTCACATCCTTGAGCCTTCACATTCCAATCTTTTACACCATCTTCAAAAGATCGTTGGTAGAGATTTGATAAATAAATCAGTCATATTAACTTGTATGAATATGTTGCACCTTGAAATTATCATTCTTGATAGATATGTAATATCTTCGTATAATGTCATGGAATGACTTTTTCAATATCTTCATAGAGGCAAAAATTTTGCTATCACATTATCATGCTTATAGTTATAGCAATATACATTTGTACACAAATTACTAAGGATGTGGTACTTCAAGATCAAGAATTGTATATGTTTAAGAAATTTAAATCATTCGGGGATTGTCATATAAGTATAGTCAAATAAGCCATATAAATAGACTTTAGATTTATATCAAGTATTCATGTCATGCCAGACATATAAGATAGATAAAAGTGATTACACATTCTTTTGACTTCATACTTTCAGGTGTTTGAACTACATGTCCAAAACTATATATCTTTCATATGAAACTAATTCTACTTGAATTATTTCTTCAGACTTAAGATCCTCATATATATTTAACGTTACCATAGACGTAATCGACGAACATTTCATATCGGTTCCAACAATCTTCTTTTTCATAAAGGCATGACATAGAGATCTCTTCATTCATATTTTCAGGTATCTGAACCTCTCTTGAGGATTTATGAAGTATTATGTCATGTGATCTTCTAAATCACTCGTCACTTTATTATGATTATTTTGATCATTTGCTCATCTCCTTTATCAAGAATTTTACTTGAAATTAGTTTGTGTATACGCTTTAAGCGTACCATAGATTTTGTCCTTCTAGGACTTATTCTAATAGGAGCATTTGTAGTGAGAATATAGTTACTTTCTTTGGGTCAACAAATGCGTTTAGCATGCTTTGCAATATATTGCAGATGAATTATCTTTTTATGAACTTCAAATTCATATTATCTTATTCGAGTATCTATATATAAAAATGATAATTCATTCCGCGTAACTTTTTCTCATTTGTTTATCATCTCTCCCCCTCATGTTAGAAAAACTAACTTTCTTCCTAAATTTTGGGAACCCATCTTTGTGTGTTATGGTGTTAATCAACGTATACACCGCACATCAATAATAATAAGATAGAATTATTTGGTTCCTGACCCTGAACCACTTGTGAGAGGAGAATATAATATACTTTCGTGTATAACCTATATCAGATTGATATAGATAACTTTGTTCTCATAAGCAATAGTTTAGCTATTAAGTGGAGGCACTCAATAAATCATTTTGCTAAACCAACTGTGATGTAAACCAACTTATCAAGATGAACTATCTTGAATAGAGAATCTGGAAATTATGCTCTAAATTAAATTATTGAGTAATTACCTCGCAAACACCAGGTTACAGGTTAATAATAATCGCACATGTAACAATCTCAGAGATGCATCTTATGTGGTATACGTGGCAGGTGAATGGGCCCATATTAACCTTTGATAAATTTCAGAATTCAAGGGATTCAATCCCAATTTTAGTTGGTATAATAATTGCGAGAACAAGCAAAACAACAGAATTCATAAATAATCTTCTTCAATACTTACCCATGTTAATTCTCATTTATTTTGCGCATCCAAATCAAGATTGCTCAATGGGCCATGCTTGATAATATTATTTGTATTAGTAAACTTCAGGTTTACATCATGACATGCGCAATTGTAAACTAAACTTCTAGTTTACTGCGACATGGGTTTTATATCAATAAACATCCAGTTTAATGTGTCATGTAATTTCGCCATATTTTTTATTTGTGTAATACAAATCAGGCAATAAAGCAGGTAGTATTCATATATACATATTACCCCACTACAGTTATAGTAATATAAAGATATTAATCTTCATTATTTATAGTCTCAATATTACCAACCGCTTTCGCGAATACTTTAGAAACTCAATAAGTTTCTTTGAGACTTACTACAACACAATGCCTTATTGATAATCAATTTTATTTATCCAAAGTAGTATAATTGGATCTTTTAGAGCTTTCAATTAATTTTGTACTATCACATATTTATGAATATCCATGTCGCTAATATCTCTTTCAAGGAGAAAGTTATACCATTATGGTCATGGTCAAAATCATTATAGGCAAGATATGTTTCTTCTATTACTTTTGCCCTGTAATAATCACACTGCCATAATATTTTAGCATAATCATAATAGGTACGTGATCAATGAGCATTCATACCATAATAATGAAATTATTTTCTTATTTTATCTCAAACCTTTTTCTAGAGATTAGTGTGGTATATCCACTACCACTAGCACGTTCATATTCTTCCAAGATTGAATATGTATTCATAAATCAGATGTTATCACATTCACATCATGAATGGACCATAATCATCTATATGTGCTTTACAAAATCTCATGTCAAATCGATGACAAATATTACTTTCACAGAGTGAAGGATTATTTTGAGAATCCTTATTATTCTCATTATCACAATGATGACGATTATAATTTCTTCTATTGCCACGTCCACATCCATTGATATCTTTATGGTAATAATTCTGTTTTCTTTCAGACGTATCACATACTGCTATCATATTCTCTTAAGGGAATGAAAATGAAGCAAATTCAATGGGACAAATTTCCCCTTCTTGTGCTCATAATCATATATGATTTGATCATGGCATAAAATTTTTACCACTTCGGGTGGTTATAATTTTTTATAAACTCCAATAGAGTTATAATCAAAATTTATTATCTTTGCTTGTATTTAAAATAAAATTATAGAATTTCAAGAATTTAAAAGAGAAAAATAAAGTAAAATACTTCCCTTAAATCCAGAATTTAATTCTGTTTCCAAACTTAGTGCAATTAGCACAAAAGCAATTGATCAAACATTTCTCATCCGTCGAATTTGAAAATTCTTGATTTGTCAATTTGTTGCGATCATCACATAATGCAACTCATCACACCAAATTAATTTCCATGGGGAATGAATTTCCACGACATGATGAGTCAAATACATCTAAACTGTTGATTAGTCTCTCGATCCAACGGCTTAGAGAGAAAATCCAAAACCCAATGGTTCATCATTTTAGTCTCTACTCAATTAGTTAGAGTCCCGTGCTGATAACGTGTTATAAAATAATAAAAGAAGAAAAGAGTATTGTAGGAAAAAGTAGAGAGAGAGAGAGAGAGAGAGAGAGAGAGAGAGAGAGAGAGAGAGAGAATTCTTATTGATTTGGGATGAATTACAATGGAATAGGACCCCTCTATTTATAGGGAAAGAGTGACTTAGCCACCAAGTAAAATTCCTAAAATTTCTCTAAAATATAGACATTCACCTTAAATATAATTCTATTTATAACATAACTCGCATTATTACACTCTTTATTGAGTCAAGATATATACCCAAGCATTGTTCTTCAAGATGACAAAGAAGGAATGATCTCTTGTGCCACTTACAATGATCTTTTCATATCTCTTATGTATTATTTTTTCTACTCCTTTGGGGTAGGAGTAAGGTCTGCGTACACATTACCCTCCTCAGACCCCATTAGTGGAATTCTACTGGGTTGTTATTGTTGTTGTTGTTGTTGTTGTTGTTGTATGTATTATTTTTAGATTTTTTGTAAAAATAATTATAAACCTTAAAATAAATATGTAAAGGACTATAAAACCAATTCTCCCCTACAATTGATGAGTTTTATAAGAAACAAAATTTTATAGTTCTATAAAAAAATGTTTTAGATTATAACTCTTCTAATACAATATATCAAACTCTTAATAACAAAAGAATACACTAAATAATCCAGCATTTTGACTCATCGTATTAGAATTCTTGAATTATTAAAGGCTGTACAATTTATTTGAGAACCTAATTCATCAAGACATAGAAGATATTACTAAATATACAAAATTAACTCTAGAGAATTATTTCAAGAAAAATCGTAAAAGAGAAATTTACAAAACTTCAAGTTTTTAATATTCTCACAAAATTCTCAATCAATACTTTGGAGTTGTTATGAAATATAGCTCAAAGTAACAATATAAAACAAGAAAAAAAAAAGCTAAGAGATATAGAGAGAAAGAGAGGAGAGATTCTTATTTCTTCTTCAATTGTGTGTATTTTTCTATCTATTACAAGGCCTTTATATAGGCATGAAAAGTGAAGAAAAATATGTCATTGAATATGTCATTAAGAATTTGAGATGAAGATCATGCAGGAATAGTAGATATCCATCGAACCACCATAATTTGATTTTTCTTATAGCACTCCCCCTTGGATGTCTATAGATAATGTGCCTCATTAAAACCTTATTAGGAAAAACCCTCTAAAAAATTCTAGGGAAGGAAAAAGAGTATACATGTTTATAAATACGCCTTTTGGTTGCCTCGTTACAAACCTTCAAGGAAAACCCAGTGGGACAAAACCTTGTAAGAAAAAAAGAGTACAACACGTATTAAATCTCCCTGATTAGAGCATCAATTCACATCCTTGAGCCTTCGCATCCCAATCTTGTACACGAGTTTCTTGAAGGTTGATGTCGGTAGAGATTTGGTGAACAAATCAGCCATATTATCACTTGAACGAATCTATTACACATTGATATCACCATTCTTTTGAAGATCATGTGTGAAAAATAACTTTGGTAAAATGTTCTTTGTCCTATATCATTTTATGAATCCGCCCTTCAATTGGGCTATGCATGTTGCATTGTCTTCATACAAAATTGAGGGTAGTTTGTCACACTTCAAACCATATTTGTCTCTAATAAGATGTATTATAGATGTCACGACCCAAAATCCATTAAAGGTCGTGATGGCGCCAGACACCACTACCAGGCAAGCCAACACTAAATAGTTAATTAAATTCTCATTTTAATATTTTTTTGAAATCGTAAATTTACTTCAATTTATCTAGTAAAAGATGAATTTATAGAATAAATAACAATGTTTTTCAATTTCAACACCGAATATCCCATAATCATCCCAGAACCCGGTGTCACAAGTGCATGAGCCTTTTCTAGGAATTTAAAATAAAATACAATAACTGTCCGGAATACGAATTTGGACAGGAAAGAAAATACAATACTCTGAAGGAGACTCTACTGACTGCGGAGCATCGTATAGAATGCAGCTCACCTAAGTCCCCGCCATAATTGCTCCTCTGCACCCACAAGGCCGCTAAACATATGTGTACCTTCAAACAAATGTAGTGTAGTACGAGTACGTAAATTAACGCATACCCAATAAGTATCCCGCCTAACTCCGAAAAAGTAGTGACGATGGGTCGACTTCGATACTTACTATGGGCTATAAATAGGATATCAATGATATACTTAAGTATGGATTATATGAACGGTTGCAAGCTCAATATTTTGAAGTAAGTAAGCAGTTCTTTTATAATTAAGAAATCTCCAAATTTATCTCCCATTATTTAACAATTTAACTTAGGCCGAGGAGGCAATATCATTATTTATAAATTTCAAGGCAAGCAATACAAGCATGCGCAAATCATGCTGTGGTCGTACGGCCCGATCCAACAAATATATAAACTGTGCACTGCCAGATGGTCGAATGGTGTGGACCATAGATGCATCTATTACCATGCTCGTGAATCATACATGCGACGCGGTCAAATGTAAATTTAAGGAATTACCCCGCTTGCGAATCATACCTGCAACGCGGTCAAACATAAATTTAACATTAAAATCATATCGTTTTCTTGATTCTTTTCAAAATAAGGGAAATTCAGCTTGTAGCTTTTTAAGAAAATTACCCCGCTCGCGAAACATACATGCGACGCGGTTATACATAGATTTCTTCAGCTATTATATTATTCCTCAATTCTTTTCGAAATTACGAAGTTCAAATGAAACCTTTTAAATCTTAAGTTCTTCAATTTCAACTCCTTTCAAAACATTTAATAAGCAGACTCAATATCGCTCCCTCTCAAGGCAAACAATAAACATAAATCAATAACAATATCAACAAGGCATGATGTGAACCTAAAACTACCCGGACGTAGGCATAGCTAGAAATTACGGATGGACTCTCGTCACCTCGTGCATACGTAGCCCCCACAAATAGAAGCACACAATAATTTAGTTCACATATGGGTTTAATTCCCCCTTACAAGGTTAGAAAGGAGACTTACCTCGCTCCGTAGTTCCAAAACCGGCTTCCGAGCCCTTCAAATAACTTGAATCGATGCACAACGCTCCAAAACTAGCCGATAATTATGCAAACCCATTAATATATACTCAAATACTCAATATAGTCCAATTTATAATATGAAAAGTCGATAAAGATCACCGTCAGGCCCACAGGCCCGGATTTCAAAAAATTTCGAAGATAAACTTTACCCATAACCTCATGAACTCAAATATAAAGTTTATTCTCAATTCCATGCCCAATGTCGTGGTCAAAATCAAAAATACCAAATTTTAGGTTTTCTACCAAAACCCCACAATTTATACTAATTTCCATGTTTAAATCCTTATACAAACCATGTATTTAACTTATAATGAGTGAGAATCACTTACCTTGGCATTGATGACGAAGAATGAGCTCCAAACGAGCTCCAAGACCGGCTCTCATAGAGAAAATGAGGTGAAAATGAGCCAAGCTCTCGTTTTTAAAGAACACACTGCCGAGCCCCGACGTTCGCACCTGCGGTCAAGTAGTCACACCTATGGCTTCCCAGGTGCGAGACACCTTATGCTTCTGCGCCTTCTTCCGCTCTTGCGAAGCTCCGCACCTGCGGTCCCTCACCTGGCCGGCCTGCGCCGCATCTGCGACTCCAAATGTCGCTTTTGCGCCCTCCGCACCTGCGGCCAAAACCTCGTAGGTGAGGGTACACCAGATATCAGCTGCCTCAACTCTTCTTCAAATTCCAAATTCGATCGGTTAACCACCCGGAATCCATCCGGGGACCTCGGGACCCCATCCAATCACACCAACCAGTTCCAAAACACTTTACATACTTAGTCGAGCCTTCAAATCTCATCAAACAGCGTTGAAATCACGAATCGCAACTCAATTCAAGCTTTATGAACTCTAGAACTTCAAACTTCTACATTCGATGCCGAAACCTATCAAATCACATCCGATTGATTTCTAACTTTAGGTCCACTCCCGGTCAAAGTTCTCAAAAACCTTCAAATTTCTAACTTTAGCCAAATGACTCAAAAAGACCTACGGACCTCCAAATCCACTTCCGGACACGCTCCCAACACCAGAATCACCATACGGAGCTATTCCCAGACTCATAATCCCAAACGGACATCTATAACATAAAATTCACCTCCACCCCAAATTCATGAAATTCTTCCAAAGTGCTAACTTCCACAATATGCACTGAAACGCTCCCGGTTCATCCAAAACTCAATTCGAACATACGTCCAAGTCCTAAATCATCATATGAACATGCTGGAACTTTCAAATCCCGATTCCAAGGTCGATTACTCAAAATCAACCCTTAGTCATATTCTTCCAACTTTAAGCTTCTAAAATGAGAATTCTCTTTCCAACTCAACTCCGAACTCCCTGAATCTCAATTCCGACTACGCGTACAAGTCATAATACCTGAAGTGAAGTTGCTTATGGCCTCAAACTGCTGAACGATGCGCTAGAGCTCAAAACGACCAGTCGGGTCGTTACATTCTCTCTCACTTAAACATACGTTCGTCCTCGAACGTGCTAAGAACTGCGTTGGAGTTGTTCGAAATCACTATTTAACACCTCGTGCACCTACCCGTGCTACAACAACTCAGTTGAGCACATTAGCTCGATCAAATCTAAAGATATTCTCTTTTATTTAGGCAAATAAGCCTTAGAGACCAGTTCCAACATTCAGAATTCTCTGCCAAGCCTACTTCCAACATACGAACACTGTATCAATCACCACACGATGTACCAGAACATGACTGCATACCTTTGCTGAATTCACACCATGCACCGTAGCATTTACATAACCATAATAACATTCTCTAATCATAATAGTCGACATTCTCCGAATTTGTTGCTCACCATGTACCTCATGACATATATAAGTCTGGTTCCAACTCTTGCAATACCTCCACGACGGAAGAGATGTGTAGAAATTTATAACTAACTGCCGAATCAACAAATCATTGAATCTCTCCTCCTGACTAGAATCATCACCCCATTATAACCAAATAATGGTATTTGCTCTTTACTATACTTCATATAAGCCAATCGCACTGATCCTGGATCCAATAATCTCGTCTCACCCAGCATAAGTTGTTCAGGCAATAAGCCACCTCAGACGCTGCCAAAAGTCTCAGGTGATGCCACAATGTGCCAATAAACTACAAACTCGACGTGATACATAAGGAAAATGAACTCTGGAAGGGACTACTCAACACACGTAACTAATTAGACAACCAAAAAGGTGTCATGAACCTTCCTCAGAAAATGGGACACAAAACACACAAAATAAAATATAGGGAACTGTACTTAACATCACACTGTTGCGGCACGCAACCCGATCTAAACAACATGCTTGTGGCAGCGTGCCACCCGATCCACACATAAAATCTATATAAGGAGATGCTTACCGAGATAGAATGCGCATTATTAAAAAATACCCGAATATCAGCCACAAGCACGCTAAGTGCATATAACCATCCCTGGGGAGACTGATAGTGCCATACGCTGCGAAAGTCAAGCACAACTAAGGTGCGATATATGATCTGAATCCCGAGAGCCATCCTGCTCACGTAACATCATTGCTATGCGGAACCTCATCACATGTGAAATTTATCAAGCCGTTTCACAACTCACACGACATAATATAGTATTACATGAAAAAGCCGATGACTAAACGACATCCAAGTCAACTAAAGGTGCGACAATACATTCCAATCCAAAGTCATGTTGTATCCTTCTTCATATCAAGCAACTCCCTCCTGTCATACCTAATCTTCCTCAATATAGCAGCCAATATTCCAAATTAAGTTCGTAGACCTAGTCACTGTCCACTATGAATCCCAAATCACTCAAAACTTTCCTCAAGACGTGTATCTATCCTACCCCGTAACCCATATGCTACCTTGCCACTCTCCCACTTTGGTCAAACCCTCTCCTTTAAGAAACTACTCGACTTCTGTTTCTCACACTAGGCCTTCTAGGAACTTAACCACCACAAGACACCTCCAACATGTCCTTCCTCATCCTTCGCTACCCAGTTGTTACCTTAAATCAAAATCTACCTTTGTAGCACTTGAACTGATAGATCGCTACCAACTTTAAACCCTTCCGGAAATCATCTTTATCAAGCCATCAATATCGGGAATGCCGATTCGATCCTGAATTGTTGCACACTACGACCTCTGACAATCGCTTTCTCTACACCATTTATAATATTCTGCCCCAAGGCGAATTGAAGAAAATCATAACACCGGCGAACTTAACACATTATAACCAATCAAGGATGATGATGCCACATCACAGGTAAAGATTCCACCGCACTCAAAAATATCGAGTCCCGCTACTCCATCAACCCAAGTCTGAACATTCTTAGTTTGATTTCCTTTCCTTCGTCGGAAGTAAAAATACTGAATCTCCAAATTAGGCACTAAGTAAACCTTCTTTCAAGTCATTCACAGCCCCGAGACATAGGCAAGCATCCTACCATCACATCAATACTGTGCGGTAACAACTCAAGAGCATCATAGCTATCGGTGCATAATCTCAAATCTCTTAGAAGTACAACTACTGAGCTAAAATGATAGAATATCCTTCCACAAGGCGACGACAATAGCCCAAACAACTACGCAGGGAGAAACATCCTGCACCACATCTGTAGTACCATTACAATTCCTCAATTCTCAATCGATAGCAAGCGCTTTACGTCGCATAAGATTGAATGGGAAGGAAATGAAGGCATAAGCCTCAAAGAAATCAAATCGCACGATGAGAATCAAGAAGGGAAGTGCTCCTAACAGCCATGTAGCCTCTCGAAGATAAGTACAGACGTCTCTGTACCGATCCGTAAGACTCTACTAGACTCGCTTATGACTCGTGAGACCTAAGTGAATCTAGTCCTCTGATACAATATTGTCACGACCCAAAATCCGTTAAAGGTCGTGATGGTGTCGGACACCACTGTCAGGCAAGCCAACACTAAATAGTTAATTAAATTCTCATTTTAATATTTTTTTGAAATCATAAATTTACTTCAATTTATCTAGTAAAAGATGAATTTACAGAATAAATAATAATGTTTTCCAATTTCAACACTGAATATCCCATAATCATCCCAGAACCCGGTGTCACAAGTGCATGAGCCTTTTCTAGGAATTTAAAATAAAATACAATAACTGTCCGGAATATGAATTTTGATAGGAAACAAAATACAATACTCTGAAGGACACTCTGCTGACTGCGGAGCGTCGTATAGAATGCAGCTCACCTAAGTCCCAGCCATAATCGCTCCTCTGCGCCCACAAAGCTGCTAAACATATGTGTACCTTCAAAAAAATGTGCAGCAAGTGTAGTATGAGTACGTAAATCAACGCGTACCCAGTAAGTATCCCGCCTAACCCCGAAGAAGTAGTGACGATAGGTCGACTTCGATACTTACTATGGGCTATAAATAGGATATAAATGATATACTTAAGTATGGATTATATGAACGGTTGCAAGCTCAATATTTTGAAGTAAGTAAGAAGTTCTTTTATAATTAAGAAATCTCCAAATTTATCTCCCATTATTTAACAATTTAACTTAGGCCGAGGAGGCAATATCATTATTTAAAATTTCAAGACAAGCAATACAAGCATGCACAAATCATGCCGAGGTCATATGAACCAATCCAATAAATATTTAAACTGTGCACTGCTAGAGGGTCGAATGGCACGAAACATAGATGCATCTATTACCACGCTCGCAAATCATACATGCGACGTGGTCAAATGTAAATTTAAGGAATTACTCTGCTTGCGAATCATACCTGAGACGCGGTCAAACATAAATTTAACATTAAAATCATAATTTTTTCTTGATTCTTTTCAAAATAAGGGAAATTCAGCTTGTAGCCTTTTTAGGAAATTACCCCGCTCGCGAAACATACATGTGAGGCGGTTACACCTAGATTTCTTCAGCTATTATATTATTCCTCAATTCTTTTTGAAATTACAAAGTTCAAATGAAACCTTTTAAATCTTAAGTTCTTCAATTTCAACTCCTTTCAAAACATTTAATAAGCAGACTCAATCTCGCTCCCTCTCAAGGCAAACAATAAACATAAATCAATAATAATATCAACAAGGCATGATGTGAGCCTAAAACTACCCAGATGTAGGCATAGCTAGTAGCTACGGACAGACTCTAGTCATCTTGTACGTATGTACCCCCCACAATAGAAGCACACAATAATTTAGTTCACCTATGGGGTTAACGGCTCTCATGGAGAAAATGAGGTAAAAATGAGCCAAGACCTCGTTTATAAAGAACACACTGCCGAGCCCCGACGTTCGAATATGCAGTCAAGTAGCCGCACATGCGGCTTCGCAGGTGCGAGACACCTTACGCTTATACGCCTTCTTCCGCTCCTGCTAGGCATTTTTCGATTCTGCACTTGTGCAGATGCGGCCAAAAGCTCCGTACCTGCGGTCCTTCACCTGGCCGGCCTGCTCCGCATTTGTGACTCTAAATGTCACTTTTGCGCCCTCCGCACCTGCGGCCAAAACCTCGCAGGTGCGGGTACACCAGATATCAACTGCCTCAACTCTTCTTCAAATTCCAAATTCGATCCGTTAACCACCCGGAATCCACCTGGGGTCCCCGGGACCCCATCCAATCACACCAACCAGTTCCAAAACATATT